ACAGACCAACGACAACATGGCTGTCTCTAGCCGATAGGTTGTGTCATCGCAGTGCAGTATTCTTCGCAGGTTTTGTAAGCAGCAAACGTGCTGGATTAAGTATAACATCCGACTGGTTAGAGATAGGGTTAAGGTCTGCATGCCCCCTGCCTGGTCTTGTTTTCGTGACAAAACTTTGTTTGTTCTTTGCGTAGGCATTCCTTAATCTGCGCATGCGGGCGGTGCTCTTTGGTAACGCGACAGATCAAGCTGGCCAAGAACGCTTACGTGAAGGCGCTGGAGTACAACAAAAACCACGCCAAGGCTCTGCAGCAGCTGGGCTGGCTCCACTACAAGGACGAGGATGACTTCCGCTCTGCCATCGAGTACCTCAAGCGGGCCTCCGAGATAGGTACTAGGGGGCGGGGGGCACTTTTGCTCGGCCGTACATCGACGAAAAGTTCGCCGACAGCAGTCGCAAGACTCTTTTTTTGTAGGCCTTGCAGCGAGCATCAGGGATGCTGCCGTAGGTACAGCACACCTTTGATGTGAGTCTTCGTCGGAGCTAGGTCCGGTCGTGTGCCCAAGGCATGGGTGGGAATACCGCGGAGCAAACCAAGCGTGTTTGTTGCGACTAGGTGGCGGGAGGCGACTGCTGTGTCGGAGACCGCCACGCTCATGCGCCCTCTCTCGCAGCGCCGCGTGTACAGTTGGACAAGACACGTTGGACACGGTTCCGGATACCCCCGGTAGCGGCCGTACGGAGGTTGCAGAGGAGATAACACGCACGCAAAGATCATGTCGCTGTTGCGGTTGTTGTTGTTGTTGTTGTTGTTGTTGTTGTTGTTGTTGTTGTTGTTTTGTTGTTGCTGTTGCCGCATGCTTTCATGCTGCGCTGTGAAACTGACTGTAGCACGCACGACTTGCGCTAATCGTGTCGGCTGTTGCCGCATCATCTGAGGCTGACACGGTGAGAGTATCACACTCACGTACTGAGTGATTGTGCCGCAACTGCCGATGCCGCTGCCGCTGCCGCTGCCGCTGCTGCTGCTGCTGCTGCTGCTGCTGTTTTGGTTGTTGCCATTGTCGCGACAGATCCTCAGGAGGGACTAGGCTGGTACTTGCTGGGGCGCTGCTACATGGCAGCCCATAAGCACGAACTGGCATACGCTGCGTACGAGCAAGCCGTGTAAGTGGTCAATCGCTGTGGATTCAGTTCTGCTCATGTTGTTGGTTGCGGAAGATCTTTGGAGTCTTGAGTGATTGATTGGGAGCAAGACGTCCCTCTCTTTTCCTTGAAGGCTTTGGCCTGGTCTGATTGTTGCGCGGCTTGAACAACTACGAGCTGTTTGGTCAGGTTGCATTACGTGGAATCACACCTGCAGCAGCGTGTAGCTGACCGTCCACGCCTTTGGGAAGACGTCCTGCTGCTGCCGCAGAGATAGCAGCAAGCATTCATATGGCGCAAGGTTGCAGTTGGCCTCCCAACCCCCACATGCATCTCCACCGACAATCGATTCCGCACAAACAGCTTCATTTTGGCCCCCTTACGACTGCGGCTTTCAGACGCCCCCCTGACCCCCCCCTGCGTCTTCGCCGACAAACGAGCCAGCGCACTAACTACCTGGTTTCTTCGGTGCCCTTGTAACGTGACTCACGTGCCTCTTGCGCAGTAACTGCGATCCGAGCAACCCGAACGTCTGGTGCTCCTTGGGGGTGCTCTACTACCAGCTACACCAGAACAGAGACGCCTTGGACGCGTATACGAGGGCGATCAAGCTAGACCCTCACCTTTGCGAGGTGATGGGGAGCGATTGCGCCGCACATACGTCTCGCGTGCGCGCCGCCGTGTGTGTGATTTTTTTCTTGGCATCGGCCGCGCTAACCTGTATGCTATGGCCAATGAAAAGGCGCCAGTCTCAGTGCGACTGAAAGCAGAAAACGCTCCATGATCTGGGACCCCGTGAGGGGTAGGCTAAACCACGCGCAAACCTAGGTCCGAACTGTTCAAGAATACTTATTTTTCCTTTGTCTTGACGCTTTCGTACGCCCGTGCCCGAATTCGAATACCTCCCCCCCCCCTAGGTGTGGTACAACGTGGGGACGTTGTACGACAGCTGCAATCAGACCACAGATGCACTGGACGCTTACAAGAAGGCAGCGGAACTTGGCGCCAGTGGGGGGTTCATCCACGAGCGCATAACGGCCCTCATGAAGAAGATGAACATCTCTGGCGGTAGCGGTGGCGGAGGCGGCGGGGGTGCAGGTGCAGGGGGCGGGGGAGCGGGCGGCGGCGGCGGCGGCGGAGGCGGAGGCGGAGGCGGAGGCGGTGGCAACGGAGGGGGAGGGGGTCATCGGGCACAACCGCACCACACGCGAGAACAGATGGACATGAAGGTGCACTCTCATCTCGGTCCGCCGCCACCGCAGCAGCTCCCGATTCCGAACGGTCTCGGAAACGGGAATGGGATCGGGAACAGGGCAGGGAACGGCGCAGGGCCGGGGGGGTTGCACCACCACGGGCAGGTGGGCCAAGGAGGAAGTCACCCTGGTCAAGGCCAGCAGCAGCAGCTGGAACAAAGTGGTGGGGAGGGGGGAGGGCAGCAGCAGCAGCAACAACACCAACAGCAGCAGCAGCAGCCGCACACGAGGTGATTCGGTTAGCTCTTTTCCGTCACACCTACTGTACTGGTGCGTGTTGCGGCACTGCGGCGATCACTCTGTAAAATCAAAACAGGCGTGGAGCCACAACCGAAGCTTGCTGAGAGTCTCGTTGCACAAACTCGTGTGTCAGAGTCTTGGGAGATGCCGTCCACGGTTTGAACTGGGTTAGAACTTAAAACAAGTTCTAACGAACAAAGCCTCTTGTTTTGGAGAAAAATTTGTATTTGTATATATTCTTACCCGGCGATCGTTCGGTCAGTCGATCTCGCACCTTTGCTATACAGAACCCGAATATAAGTTCTCGCTCATGGTTGCCTCGCCTCCATTCCGACCGGTGATTTGCTCATGCATGTAAAATTGTATGAGAACACCTAAAACTTGACGGACGGCCCTAGTCACAAGTGCTGTTTACTGCTCTGTCGCGCGTACGCAACTGCATACAGTTCGGGCATGGGAGGAGGTGGAGGAGGGG